CGCACACGGAAAAAAGCGCAAACAGAAAAAAGCGCAATCGGAAAAAAGCGCAAACAGAAAAAAAGCGCAAACGGAAAAAAGCGCAAAGAGAAAAAAGCGCACACAGAAAAAAGCGCAAACAGAAAAAAGCGCAAACGGAAAAAAGCGCACACAGAAAAAAGCGCAAACGGAAAAAAACGCAAACTGAAAAAAGCGCAACGACAAAAAGCGCAACGGAAAAAAGCGCAAAAAAAGAAGAAAAAACGCAAACAGAAAAAAGCACACACAGAAAACTGTTCACACCGAAAAATGCACAAAGAGCCATTTTCGCACAAAGACCTATAAGGACTAGATGACACATTTATACATGATTATTAGGGCTGCTGTGAGAGTGTTGTGTTTGACCTGACGCGATATACTACCACTTAAAGCATACCACTACCATGTGCATTCACATCACCACGATACAGGCGATAGTCGCTTGACACAACGTCTATTTTTTTCTTGTTCACTATTTATTCAACGACTATTCTCGAATAAATAAACATAAAACTATCCTTGATATTGGCATTACACGGAGTATCTCGTACATGCTCCCTAGTCCCAAGCTTGCATTCTATAACAACCCGTTTCTATCGCAAAACTTCACTCTCTTTCTTCCGAGTCATCAAACATGCATTCGCTATATCTCTCGCACCAACTTTCATTCGCACAAAAATACCCTGATAAAACACACATCATAATCATTATGTATTTAATATTATTTCATCATGATGTACCTATATCTACCTACCTACCTACCTACCCACCTACATACCTACCTACGTACCTACCTACGTACCCACCTACCTACGTACTACATACCAACCTACCTAATATATATATATATATATATATATATATATATATATATATATATATATATATATATATACAAGGGTAGGTGGGTTAGTTGGTGGGTGTGTGGGAAGATTTGTGGGTGGGTAATTAGGTGGTTGGGTGTTTGTGTAGATCAGATTTTCATCCAGGCATTTCTTCGGCACACAGAATCTCAAGCATCTTATATGCGTATTGTTCAAACATTCGTGTTGATTTGTTAATTCTGCAAGTTTTACTAACCTTTAAAGTTGATTTAGTGGGATATTGAAGTGACTCTATATGCTTATGCTTTAAACTTAACTAATATGATCCGACATGGTTATTATATCGGCTCTAGAATATATTTGCACTGGCTGGCAAAAGAAAAGATTTCTTTATCTCAACATTTTATGGACGCTGTATTCTTAAAATTGTCCAAGTGAATTGAAAAGCGTGTTTACGTTGTTCACTAGTCAGCTTATGACGTCACATTATAACACAAATCATCTTATTTATTTGCAGTAGTTATACTTCAAAAATAAAAACAAGAGATGTTGATAAGCTGTGTTAGATATGAATTTTAATAATCTTTTACTATTAGAATAAAAGAGAATGATCATATAGAATGGAATTAAAACAATAATTATTATTGCAACACAAATAACATTTTTGTTGCAAAAAACAGTTGTGAATTAATTGATTTCAGAAAACTGTCTAGCCAAAACTATAATAACAGAACTCGGAAAAGCTGTTAAGTTACTGTCGAGAAAAAAACAACTACAGAAAGCGTCACCCAACTGTTGTGCTGTGAGGTGAGGACAGGGTCGACAATTAACCAACACGAAGTCTGTATACAATTAACGTCTTTATTGTTTGATAGTACGAACGAGACATAGACTGCCTATTAGAGAATGGACCCCCAAACTTTCCTAACCCCACCTTTTATTCCCTACCTAACCTCTAAGTTTTCTGCGCTTTATGTCACTTCCATACCAATCATTTCTATGCTACATAATTGTTTGTACTATTTATTTACATTCTTTAATCTCAATATAACTAAAATAGACTATAGTTTGAAGGGTAATGAAAACATGTAAACAAATAGGACGCTACTCTAAATCTACGCAAATACTTATATGTAACAATCCTAACACCAACCAAAGCATGTATTGAACAGCATAATGGACAAAGAGAGATGTAGTTTTATTATAACACCAGGCTTTGACTCGGACCTACTTCAATGGTGTCTACATTGTTAAACTGATTAACTATTTGATGTAGTGCTCTATTGGCTCAGTAGGAAATGTGCATAATCTAAAAATATAAATTCCATTTAGTTCGGGGGGAAGGGGGGGGGGGGGGGGTAGACGGTAGACTCTCTTCGGGCCGAGACCCCCCCCCCCCCAACCCCGAACTGATGTCTGTATAAAACTCTCTTCTACGCAAACACCCAACCACCTAATTACCCACACACACATCTTTCCACACACCCACCAAAAAATCTACCTACCCACGAACCCACCAACTAACCCACCTACCTACCCGTGTATATATATATATATATATATATATATATATATAATATATATATATATTATATATATATATATATATATATATATATATACATATATACATATATATATATATTATATATATATATATATATATATATATATATATATATATATATATATATATATATATATATATATATATATATGTTATATATATATATATATTATATATATATTATATATATATATATATTATATATATATATATATATATATATATATATATATATATATATATATATATATATATATATATATATATTGGGTAGGTTAGTAGGTAGGTAGGTAGGTAGGTAGGTAGGTAGGTAGGTAGGTAGGTAGGTAGGTAGGTAGGTAGGTACTTAGGTAGGTAGGTACGTAGGTAGGTAGGTACGTAGGTAGGTACGTAGGTAGGTAGGTAGGTGGGTAGGTAGGTAGGTAGATATAGGTACATCATGATGAAATAATCTAATACATAATGATTATGATGTGTGTTTTATCAGGGTATTTTTGTGCGAATGAATGTTGGTGCGAGAGATATAGCGAATGCATGTTTGATGACTCGGAAGAAAGAGAGTGAAGTTTTGCGATAGAAACGGGTTGTTATAGAATGCAAGCTTGGGACTAGGGAGCATGTACGAGATACTCCCGTGTAATGCCAATATCAAGGATAGTTTTATGTTTATTTATTCGAGAATAGTCGTTGAATAAATAGTGAACAAGAAAAAAATAGACGTTGTGTCAAGCGATTATCGCCTGTATCGTGGTGATGTGAATGCACATGGTAGTGGTATGCTTTAAGTGGTAGTATATCGCGTCAGGTCAAACACAACACTCTCACAGCAGCCCTAATAATCATGTATAAATGTGTCATCTAGTCCCTTAGAGGTCTTTGTGCGAAAATGGCTCTTTGTGCATTTTTCGGTGTGAACAGTTTTCTGTGTGTGCTTTTTTTCTGTTTTGCGTTTTTTCTTCTTTTTTTGCGCTTTTTTCCGTTGCGCTTTTTGTCGTTGCGCTTTTTTCAGTTTGCGTTTTTTTTCCGTTTGCGCTTTTTTCTGTTTGCGCTTTTTTCCGTTTGCGCTTTTTTCTGTTTGCGCTTTTTTCCGTATGCGCTTTTTTCTCTTTGCGCTTTTTTTCCGTTTGCGCTTTTTTCTGTTTGCGCTTTTTTCTCTTTGCGCTTTTTTCTGTTTGCGCTTTTTTCTGTTTGCGCTTTTTTCTCTTTGCGCTTTTTTCCGTTTGCGCTTTTTTCTGTTTGCGCTTTTTTCTGTGTGCGCTTTTTTCTCTTTGCGCTTTTTTCTGTGTGCGCTTTTTTTCTCTTTGCGCTTTTTTCTGTGTGCGCTTTTTTCTCTTTGCGCTTTTTTCCGTATGCGCTTTTTTCTCTTTGCGCTTTTTTCCCGTTTGCGCTTTTTTCTGTTTGCGCTTTTTTTCTGTGTGCGCTTTTTTCTGTTTGCGCTTTTTTCTCTTTGCGCTTTTTTCTCTTTGCGCTTTTTTCTGTTTGCGCTTTTTTCTCTTTGCGCTTTTTTCCGTGTGCGCTTTTTTCCGTTGCGCTTTTTGTTTTGCGCTTTTTTCCGTTGCGCTTTTTTCCGTTGCGGTTCTTTCCGGCCACCAGTTAATTCTCTCCAATTTTGAGAGATTTCGGCGTGTTCGAGTCGGTAAAAGCTCATGGTTGCTAAACTGAAAAGTCCTCGAGTTCGAACCCTCAGGCAGATGAGGCTCGTTAGCTGGGGACAGCCACTCTTCTAGGAGATACAACTCCAAAATCAAACAACTACTGCCTTGTAGTTTGTTCTTGGTTGGACAAAGGCGTATGGAAGCAAATCCAAAAGAAAAGCAGGCTGAAACCGGAGTCAATGGCCACAATGGCGGCATAACCAGTTGACACGTAATCCTTAATTGTGATGGAAGCATGGTTGGAGTCGGCAAAGCTCATGGTTGAATTAATTTAAAAAAAACCCTCTGGCAGACAAGGCTCGATCCCTCCCAACACTAAAAATTAAGAACGAAGAAGAGGAAGAAGAGAGATTTCCAGTGAACGGAAGTCTTAATTTACCCTATTTCCGGTATTTCCTATTTGTAAATAAAACATCACTTCTACTGGACCAATGTCTTCAATACCTTTCACGTAGGTCTAGACTCATTGACTATTCATTGTGACATTTGGTTGAATTAGATGTTTGATCACCTTTTAAAAACTAATCAACATTTACCTTACAAAGCACTAATTTTCCATTTTTTAACGTGATTCTATTACATTTTTAAAGAAAAGGAATATACAAGAAAATTTAGGGTAGATAAATCCAATTTGTTTTTAAAATGTAGATTCTAAGTACTAAAAAAAATCAATAAAATACTTTTCTATACTTTTCTCACTTTTCCTGCACGAAAGTGCCACCCTGTACTGAATAACATTATACGATAAAGTTTAGGGGAGACTACTTCCGCTATTGTTTTACCAATGTGTCAATATATATAATTTTAGGTTGCTTATATATATATATTGCTTCTGTTCCTTTCTTTTATCTTATTTTGAATTTAATTTATAGAGAAGTATTCATGTTTAAATTTGGGATATTCATCGATAGAAATAATAATTATGTTAATTGGCAGATCCCGCAAAGCCAGGAAAAGTTTATAATGTTATACAACTACCAAATACAACAACCAATGGACCATATGAGTACATGATTTATTTTGAAGCATCAGAGGGCAATGTGGCTAATTATACATTTGGTGTTAAGAACTTAACTGGTTTAATGACCAGCAGTACACCATCTGTTGTATCGTACGAATTGACTCCATTGAAAACCTACTCGTATGAAATAATAGCTCAAAACATCGTTGGATACGTTAGCGAAAAAACAATAGGAAGTTTTTCAACTCCTGCTGAGGGTAAGTAAAACATATTTCTCTGTTGTTGTTTTTTTTAGACCCATTTATATGAATTTTATTACCATACTAAAACTATTTTCAGTTTAATAGATCGAATGCTATTTGAATTATTCATTCTAAAATGACTACAACTAGCAATATATGTTAATAAGCTCTTTAAAAATTTAAGTCTAAAATAAAAACAAATAGTTTACAGACTATAAATGGCCTTAATAGTAAATCTAAGTTATATTATTTAAATAATTATGACAAATATAAATGATAAAGTGGAAATCTAACACAGGATGTCATAGTGATTGTTGATACCTATATAGGATAACAATTCTAAAGTAATTAAATAATAGTTATTACTGCAATAGCCAATACAACATGCAGTAATGAGTAAAAAAACCAGGTCCGATACGTAACCAGATCAATGCACACAGTTTAAG